TCTGACGGTCGGTGAACGACTTGTCTTAGAGTCATCGGAGCTAGGACCAGAGGTATTCCCTCTACCGATCACATTGATAGTGACTCCAGGATACTCGGTCTCTGGAGACTTCTTCCTGTGCGAACGTCATCGTTGGTTAGGCAAAGCAACGTTCGTTAATTGGTCAAACACCAACAGTTTGGCCGCATATGAGCATCATTGATATCCCGAGAGGACCGTAAGGATCAGTCGTTCACATTGAAATGAATGAATAATTTGTTGCATCGGTCTTTCTTTCGATATGAACTCTCTCAAATATGTTATAAAGATTCAAGGAGAATTACTCACTGATCGTGAGGTTTGAACTGGAACCCCCGGTCTATGATTGGACAGGAGTGGCTCTTGGCGGACATGAATCTGGTTTAGATGCCTTGGATCCATGGACTTTTGACATCCGCCCCTCAATCTAGTCATGCTACACAGAGTATTCGGGATACCCCCCGGTAGGGTTCGGGGTAGCGCCTCGAAGCTCCACGGTATACACCAGGTTCCATATTGAATTTTGTCACCCGAACGCATGCCTGAGCTCCAGGTGTTGCTGGTGAAACGCAGTCCTGAGGGCTGTGTTTAGCTTGGCTTATGCAGAGCTCGTGTTGAGGCTCAGAAACGCGGAGCTTGCGTTGATTGGAGGATCGGCTTTTTTGGAGTTGTACCGAAGCTAAGTCCTCTCCTTCAGAGAGCGGACTGTATGAACAGTGCAACCCCCAAGGGAGACGGTCCTTCAACGAGTCGGCCACAATTGGAACTTTAGTCTCCTTGAAGACTTTGCGGATCTTGCGCATAGCCTTGGGGCTAAGGGATCTGGATGGGAGAGTCTCCTCAAACTTGGCTTGATCAAACTCAACAACAAGAGTTTCGACGGTTGTTCCAATGAGATGAACGTCAGATTGTGCCACCACTTCTTCGTCAGAGAAGCTATTCTCCAGCGGAGTCGCCATCTTTTGTTTGTGGAAAAATTTACAGTAAAAGAAATGAAGGAAAATTGATTTGTATTCCTTTAATCTCAGTTACAATTGGATTTTTTGATTACAAAAGAGAGGAGAATGAATTTGATTCTCCCATTTGTTTAAATCTGGGTTCTTCACGGTGGCGATGGAGTGCCTCCCTCGAATGCTCGCGTCGAGTTTGCTTTCCGTTGACGATCCGCGCGTCTTGATTCACTGGAACGGTATCTCCTCCTCATGATTTGATGTTGTGGAGAACTTGCAAAGCAAGTTTTAAAACTCTTAATGAGTTGATTGATCTTAACCGTAATTGGTTAGACAAGCCAAGGATCTCTTCTTTGCTGCCCCAGAGCCCGATCAAAAAGCCAGCCTCTCTAAACTGATTTTTTTAGTTATTTATAGGGGATTAAGGGATGTAACCACCCCCTTAATTCGCTTCTAAGTGGGGCTAATGGGATGTAATCGCCCCTTAAATCACTCCTGAGTGGAGTTATGATCCCCTCAGATCGTGGGAAACGGTTTTGAAACTGTTCAGGTCGTGTTTGAATGAGTCAAACGCAAAATCCACGTTCTAGCATGGATTCTGCGTTCAAACGCAGTGTCTGGAAGCTTGAACGTCACGTCTGGAAGCTTGGACGCAGCAATTGGAAGTTGCGTTGGCAGCGTTAGCAGCTGGATCTGAGCTGTGTTTGCATCGATTTGAAAGCTGCGTTGGCAATGTTGGAAGCTGCGTTGGCAGCGTTAGTAGCTGGATGTTTGTAGCGATTTGGAAGCTGTGTTGGCAATGTTGGAAGCTGCGTTGGCAGCGTTAGCAGCTGGATTTGAGCTACGTTTGCAGCGTTTGGAGCTGAATGTGAGCTGCGTTTGCAGCCAGGTTTGACCTGCCTCCGCAGTCGAATTGGTGTTGCATCTTGATGATGGTACGCAGGGAGGACTTCCACGTCTTGGTTTGAAGAGACCATCGATTTGTAGTCTCTTTCTGTCAGAGTGTTGCAAAGATCGTCGTTTTATAATCTTTGTAACTCCCGATGTTGATTGTGAAGGCTGTTGATTAGAGCTTTCATCAGTTATTGTGAAGGTCGTCAGATTGTAACCTTCATCGATCTACGTGGAAGTCTTCAAATTATAGCCTTCTGGAAGTCGTCAGATTATAACTTCCATCATTGGTGTTTGATGGGGAATCAGCTATCTATTGTGATTTTTAGATAGCCTACAATACCTCAGACCTGCCTCAGTGCGAAACGTTTCACTGGTGCGTGCCTGGAAATAATCAATAATCATAATATCACCACTCCTCAAACTCACCCCAGCATGAAACGTTTCACTGGTGCGAGTCTGGAAATAAACAACAAACACATCCGATCACTGCTCCTCAGACTCACCCCAGTGCGAAACGTTTCACTGGCGCGAGCCTGGAAATAATCAATAATCACATCCGATAACATGAACATGGACTTCCACATCCCAACTCTTCTCGTTTTCTAAGTCAAATTAAAACTCTGGTTCACCACCTAAATTCAGTCAACACACTCACACATGTCACTAGGTCTGTTCATGACGCACGAGGCCACTAAGTCATGAACTACTAAGATTCTCAAATACAATAAAGAGATAATAATTGTTTGGGTCAAAATAATAATTGTTTGGGTCAAAAATCACTGTTTTCATTGTGATTGAATCTATTACAACTTTAATCATTTATAATAAACTCAAATAAAAAGTTGATCTTTTTATAAGATCTCCTTATACAATGAAAATACAAAAAGATACGACTCTTGTCAAATAGCGTAACAGACGTTTATCACTCGCTGCTTGCGTGGGAACTTTGCCTGTGCCGGGGACGTTAGTATCCCTGGACCGTCACGGATCAGATCCAGTTGACAGATTGGTGATCAAAGCTCTTACTTCACGAATGAAGTAATCCCTGCAGCGATGATCTCGACCAAGCGAGATCACGACTCTTCTCGAGATTTAAGACCAAGCTTAAATCCGGAGGAATAGGAGACGGGTCTCAGATCTCTCGAACTCCACTCTTTATGCACTGGAGATCACCAAGATCTGCTAACCCTCTGAAATTCGTGCTCCAATCTCCAATTCGATAGCACCTCGTCCTCTTGATTTCTAGCCCCAGAGAAATGAGCACTCGAGCTCGTATTTATAAGCCTCAGAAACCGGTATTTGGATAAGAACGAGGGATTCCTCCTTATCTTCAGTTAAGAACTGATTAACCATAGTATCAGATCAGTTGGGACGCTCAGGAACAAACCACTGGCCTGACCGGGTCGTTTTGACGTGACCCGGCCGCCAGGGACTATCTTGGTTTTCTAGGGTTTGACTTGTTCTGTCGTTACGCGTATTTCATTGTTTCGTTGGCTTGTATGCTGTTTTGGTGGCCGATGAGCGTGTGAGCCACTTGGTGGTGGCCGGTGAGCACGCGGATCACTTAATTCGCCGATTTGGTGGCTGATGAGCGTGCGGGCCACTTGATGGTGACCGGTGAGCACGCGAGCCACGTCATCAATAGTTCGTTGATTCGATGGTCGGTGTCAGATAATCCTCTTTGACTTAGATAACGGCGTTCATCACCTTCTTTCCATCTCGAGTTGTGTGTGGATACCTATAGACATTTTTAGACGCCTACAACGATGATATATCTTCAAGGAAGTTTGGGAACCAAATCTAAGGTGGAGATTATTAGGATTATGTCTTTGATTATTTGTATAACTTCATGAGAATTAGATAGGGCTAGAGATCTATCATGATTAGGAGATTGAGTTTCATAATGATTAGGAGTTTGAATCCTATTCTAATGAGGAAGTTAGGTTAGAGATAAGGTTTTGGTTTCCCTATATATTCTTCTATTGTTGGAGGAAAAACTAAGAGAGAAGGATAGAGAGGGTTTGACAGTTTTTGTTCGTGCAAAAGATTACAATTTGGAGGTGATAGTGGATTGATTTTTAATCCTGTGGTTTTTCCCTATTGAGGGTTTTCTGCATTAAATATTGTGTGGTTCTATTTGCTATGTTTAATGGTTTTCGGGGTTTTTGCAGATCTAGAAAATCCTACACCTTTTTCATATGCCTTGAAATGCCTTAGTGAGCAACTACTTACAATCCTGCATATGGGTTGACCTACCTTGTCTACCAAATGTGTAGTGAACTCTTAGGAGTTGTTAATTATTCAAAACTCTAATTATTGAGTTTGTTTTTACCATATTGGTTTGTAAACACCTTTATCCAAATGTTTGGAATTGGTTGAATTTGTTTTTGAGCTCATCATATAAATTTAATCTGATACAACTGTTGAGCTACATAAATCAAACAAAGATGAATTATAGTATAAACTCAAAATAGAGTTCTCCTACTCTCCACAATACTCTTGTGGTGTGTTGGAGGATTTTTTTTTGTCTTAAACTCTCTTAATTGCTCAACTGACTATTTGATTAACAACCAAACTTGGATTGTTATATGATGGATATTTCAAAAATGTCCAATTATGTCCAAAGAGACGTGGCACTTAAAAATTAATGAGATTTGTAATATATTATAAGTTATGAGACTCAAAAGAGTATTTGGTTATTTGGAGTGTGGGAGTAGTTCTATAAGATACCAACATTATAACACCTCAAAAATCTGTATGTGCATCGTTTCGATATTTTCTTGTTGTAGAATCAATCAAACAATGACCTATATTTTTAGTGTCTCATATTGTTACTTTCATAATGATATCACTCTTGAATCATTTCTCATTTTATGGTTATTCAACTAGGAAATTAGACGAAAGGTCTAGACCTATATTTTTCTTTTGCAAGAAAATCCCTAAAAACTGAATTAATCATGAGTTAAAGGAAATATTAGCACTTATTAGTTGTATATAGCTGTTGAATTACAATTAAATCATGCCAACAGCTTTGCTACATCACAAAACTTTTTTCACTCATTTACTCAATTTTATTTTATTTCAAAAAAAGAAAAAGAAAAACAAGCACGTGCAATACGCGTGCCTAACTCTAGCCGATTCCCTCGCGAAAACATTCTCTTCCTCCTCACTGCTCCTCGTTTACTCGCATTTTTTCTCCATTGCTCCTCAGCGATGTCTCCTACAATCAAAATGATAGGCAAACAAATTTTACTCATTTACTCAATTTTTTTTTTACAAAAATATCCTTAAGTTTTACGTTAATTTCTCTTTCTCACAATTTATCTTTTATCTTTTCATTTTTCTCTTTGGAGAGCAGATATAGCCGTTAACTTCACAGGTCAGTTCAATTCACTCAAAAACCCTAACATACATTAAAAAAAAGAGTAAATAATTACGATATCGCAAAATTTCCTGCAGATCAAATGTTCAAAGGGATCTACAATGGTCGACAGTGCCACGCGGCAGACATCCCCGCTGTTCTCGCTAGGGCGTGGAGCGTGGGAGTTGATCGAATCATTGTGAGCTCATCGCCTATGACTGTGATTTTACTTTTTATTCTCAGTTACTGTAATTTTTTTTACCTTAGTTTTCTATTTTTTGGGAATTATTTGAATAGGTCACTGGGGGATCGCTCCAAGAATCGAGAGAGGCCCTTGAGATTGCCGAAACAGATGGTTGGTGTTTTGTTATGCTTAGTTTTTGCTAGTATGATTTTATTGTTTGATTGCAGTTCAACTGTTTGATGAAATGTCTCTGTTAACCCATTCATCGTTTGATGAGTTGTTTGAGTTAAATTATTTATTATATCCACTTGAATGTTGTTTTGTTTCTTGTAGGACGATTGTTTTGTACTGTTGGGGTGCATCCGACAAGATGCAAGGTGTTGACTCTTGAACTCTGTTGACTAGTTCTTGTCCTTGAGTTGTGCAGATAGTTTAATTTATTTATTTATTTGGGTGTGTTTGTTGTTGTTGTTGGATTATTGTTATTGTGCAGGAGTTTGAAGACAGCGGTGATCCAGAAGGACATTTTCAGGCACTGGTGTCGTTGGCTAAGGAGGGAATTCAGAAGGGAAAGGTATTGTTTGAATTTTAGCGTACAGAAAAATTTCAATTATCTGAACTCATAAAAACTTTGATGTTCTGATTGGAAATCGAGGTCTCCTTATAAAGCAAGGAGAGCTAACTTTTGACTTTTGAGATTATTTGGCTTGTTTGCTCTTCTGATCAAGGAACATTGATAATTGATAACTGCAAGAAAAACAGGAGTTTCTAGTTATGGGAAATGATTTTTGTTTATGCCCTTGTATTTTCTTATGCATCAATAATGTATCCCTAGCATCGGTCGATTGGAATCGGGGGAATTCTGATAGGAAGTATGTGGTACATTTGTCTTGTCAGATGTTGAACAGTACTCTAGAAAAGTTGGAGAAAAGGAAAATACTTGAAAGACCAGGTTGGTCCATTTGCTTATTGGCTTACTTGGGTACTTCTAATATGAAGCCGTACACGTACCCGACCCGTACCCGTTCATGTACCCAAACTCCTCGGACACTCCTTGCATATATTCATACGTATGTTTGGGCTTGTACTCAATTATACAATACATGTTTTCATTTAAAATACTTGTCATACATTTTCTGGATATATGTCATGCACTTCACATCCACTCCTTTAGGCTCATTGAACATAGGTCAGATTTCAAGTTATGACTTTGAAGGGTTGTTTGGATGTCTTGTTCAAAAACTAATAATTTTCTAATTTATAATCACGTAAATACGTAATAAAAGAAACATAAAAATGTTATAGGAATTTTAATTCTCATCCTTGTTCTCATATAAATTATTAATTCCAATATATAATATATGTGCGTATAAATATTTATATAGCCATGTGATTGGGAGCAGACGGAGGGCTTCGATCTAGCGGCAAGAAATTGTGGACGGCTTGGCAGAATGATGCTGAAATCTATGGTGAATAGTAATGGTTATTACTGTTTACAATTGAACAGTGCTTCTATTATTCGCAGAGTGACTACTATCCTGAACAGTGGAATTGGGGCTGTTTTGTGGGTTTTTGGAGCTATTTGTTTGTTGAACATGGGGGGACTGAAGCAAGTTATGAGTAAAGATGGGAAGGGTGTTGTGATTAAAGAGGAGAGGTTTTGATAATTAGTTAGGCTTCACACCTAGGGGTCTCACACCCAAAAATGGCAATTCACATGCCAAAGGCCAAGCAAACACATGCTTAGAGAAATTTCTCACACTCAAATTTTTTACTAATCAATGTCTATTCCTCATGGAGGATCATCTTATTTATAGAAAAAAAGCATCTAAACACATAAGGAAGTAAATCAAAATCCTAATCAAATCTAGTCCTAACATAATTAAAAGATGCAATTAAATAAAATCTTAACTAAACTAGAAAAAGATCTCACATCAAATTCTAAAAAAATCCAAACTAAAAAGAAGATTACATAGAATAAGATAAAATCCAACCAAAAAGTAAAGTTTCTAATAAATCCTCATCGCATCAGATGGAGGGTGCACGATAGTCTTGCATCACCATGTCCCCGTACTCTACCTTTTACAAATTTGTCATGCCCCCTATTAGTACTCGTACCATACCAATGCAACATCGCTTATCAGTAAACCATATGCAAAAGTTACTAGCATGAAAAGTACATCTCTCTCTCTCTCTCTCTCTCTCTGTCTCTCTGTCTCTCTGTCTCTCTGTCTCTCTCTCTCTCCCCCCGGAGTGGGGTGGGGCATGGGTTGAGTGTTGGGTGAATATGGGTTCTAGAGTTGGTGGTGAGTAAGAAGAGTACATATGATGGACTTCCACTGATCACTATTCATTTTTCGGCATGAACCTTTCAGTTAGTTTCTTTTTTTTTCTTGATAATTAACTGGTGTCAATTGAAGAGGGCTGTCACGAACCTGAGGGGTTAGACGGACCTCAAAGAAACCTGAATACCTTTGTTATTCTAAAAGCTAAAATACCCTTTTAATTTTTCTTCACTGAGCTTACTTTTATGGTTGCTAATAACCTCCAGTTAGTCTGCAACAGAAAACTTGTTAAGAAGAGAAGAATTTATTATTACTTATATTCATGAATGAGCTTATTGCAATTTCTTGAAGCACATTTTGATGGGTAATTTGGGGTACCGATAGTCAAAAGGTTATTGGCTTTATTTAGTAAAATTTTGACTCAGGGATGGACAAAAACATTCATAACATAAAAGCAAATGTTTCCAGTCCTATATGTTAATATATAAGACTTGCTTTCAGAATCTCTATGCAGTAACTCTAATAATGCTTATACCAGTGGCAAAATAAGAATTTTGATGTGGAAGTACTTGTTCTCGGTTCAAGTCCTAAACTCCTGAAGGGATGAATACTACTTTCTTTCTGAATCTGGTTGCTCACGATCCTCAATCTAATATTCACTGAATGCCCTTTCCTGAACATGAACATGTTCCAACTTTTCATATTGTTATTTATTAGAGACATTAAGATAGCTTCTCTCTAGCGTGATACATTTGTTATTGGTTTTGACTGAGTTGATATTTACAACTATCAATAGTATTTCCCTGTAGGTGGTGGCAGTTGGTGAATGTGGACTGGACTATGACAGGCTTCAATTTTGTCCTCCTGAGATACAAAGAAAGTATGATGTATTGATTTTATCCTTGCTTCTTTTTTTGTCTGAATTAACTCAATCAAGTACATATATGCACTACATGCGTGCTCATGTCTCTGTGCTTGTTTGCTCTTCCAGAGAAGATGCACAGATACAACTGCAAAAACAAATATTTGAGACCAATAATTGCTGTTATCCTTCTTTAAAAATTTCGAATTAAAAGAATAGACTGAAATTGTCCTATATTGTACACCAAAATCCCTTTTAATTCCTAATAACAACAACCTTAGGGCGTGTTTGGTAACCGGAAAGTAGGTGGAAAGTAGAGAATGAAGAGAAAGTACTTCATGAATAAAGCACTTTCGTTTCACTTTCTATTTGAAAATCTTGTTTGGCAACATGAAAATGAAAATATAAGAAGTTCGGTGGCAGCTGATGTGACATCACTTTCTTTGTATATATTATTTGGTTTTATATGGAAAGTTGATAATGAAAGTTAGATTTTTTTTAAAAAAATTCTCTTTAGCATCTAATAAGTGAAAATAGAAGTAATATATGACATATTCACCATTAATGCAAGCTAAGGATAAAAAAATTAAATCTAATTTTCATATTTATATGTGGCAGACCCAACATTTTCTAATTGATGGTTAGTGATTTCCACGTGCTTGCACAGACTTTAATTGGCTGGGCACTATAGATTGAATGAAAGTTATCTTACTATGAGTTCAATATCTTCTCAAGTTAGACGACATCCATCATGCATAAGAAGAATGTATTGAGGGCATAGTACAAAATTGGAGGCAATGATAAGGTTTTGTACACAACAATCTCGGTGGGGGAAGTTCTTGTGCGAGACGAGAGTAGTGAAAAAAAATTAAAATAAAAAAACAAAGACGGTTGGTTTGGAAAATAAAACGTGAAAAAAATAATGAAGTAGTATTCTCTTCTCTTTCTTCACTTTCCACCCACTTTCTCTAATTTTTGGTGAAAGTGAAAGGAGCTAAAAAGCAGACGTGGCAGCCTTCACTTTCCATTTACTTTTCGTTCACTTTCCGAGTGCCAAACGAGAAAACAAGATAGTGGAGTCACTTTCCAATTTTTGATCCATTTTCCATTTAATTTCCGAATGCCAGACACACTCATAAGGTCTTCGTCTTAAACTTTTCAAATCAGCTACATGAATCCTTTTTCTAACCCATTCCAATTACCTCCACCAAATAAATGATTGATCTCAATTGCACCATTTTATGAGGCTAGGTGTTGTGAGAAAATGCTTAAGATATATCTAGATATAAATTTAGAGCATTTTCAGTACTTTATGAAATTTTTTGTTTTGGCTTGTGGCTTATTTGCTTCATATCTGACTTAGTTTTTGAAGAATCATGCTCCGAATTTTGGTGTTAGAAATCATTATCATAAATCTAAGCTGTTTCCCATCAATCAGGTCGGTTATGGAGGGTAACGCTTCATTAAATATTTTAAAGCCCTTGGTGCAAAATTCGTGGTCAATGAATATGTGGACCATAAAGGATTACCATATATCCCAAAAGGTCATTTAGTTATAAATATAATTGATTTGGTATGTATAGTTTAAGCTCTGCAATAAATGAGCAAACTTCAATGGTTTTCTAGACTAAGAAAGAGCCCAACAGAACTTCTTTTCCCACCATGATGCAATTGAGTCTTCTGAAAATATGCTAAATGCATGGATTCTTGGTCAACTTATTAGCACAATGCTTGTTCAGTCTTAACCAAGTTCTCGTTATTATGCAGACATACTACAAGCTCACTCTTGCATACACATGCTTTCTAGTTACGGAAGCAAGGTTTTGTTCATATTTCACACTGTTTACATTTTCTATGCTTATGCTGCTTTGGAATTTAGGTATTTTGAAAAGCAATTTGAATTAGCGGAAGCTCTGAAACTACCTATGTTTCTCCACATGCGTGCTGCTGCTGAAGACTTCTGCAACATTTTAACTTCGCAAAAAGACAGGTGAACATGCAAAATGCCAAACTTAACTAGCTTGCTGTGTTATTTCTGATACATTCTTTTGTTCAGCTTGTTTGCAGTTACTGACATTTGGAAAACAGGTGATATAACCTGCTCCAGTTTTGGACAAGTTTGGCACATGAAAACCTGAAAGCTTGCGAACTTTTAGCTGTGAATTTGAAGTGTCAGAAAAGTTTAGAAAATAATTGTCTAGAAAGTTTTAAGCTAGAATTTTCTGGAAACTTGCTCATGCTTTCAGACTTATTTTAGAAAGAAGACGGAGTCAAAATTTCCTCCTAGTGCATCAAAACTTTGGAGATGTGGTGAGGTTTGACTGTTATTTTTTATACTCTTAAGTCTTAACATTCCCCTGCAGGATGAGTGTTCTTTCTGTAGGCCAAAACCTGGGTTCACGCATGGGTATCAATTTTTTTTTTAAAATCTGCTTTTACTTTGTGGCCATTGAACCTTCGTTTCTTTGATACCATGTGGAAGGTCCTTTCCCTACACCAAAACTCCGGATTTATGTGTTGAGTGTTTTCTCCCATAACAGGTTATAGGTTTATACACTAACAGATGGAATATATCGACATCCTTTCTAGCATGGGGAATTAAACTTTAATCACATTGGCTTCCAAAATTCAAGAAAACATCGCCTCCCCTTCTTCGGTACAGGCTACTTAACGCGTGTCTGTGTGTTTGTCCGTTCTTTACTGGTTGATTTTTGTCTATGTAGAGTTAGCAACCTTTGTTTGGCATGAAAGAAAGTCTCATTTGCTAATTACGACAGATAAAGACAGCAGAAAAGCGCTGGTCAGTTTGTTTATACTTTTTTGGGTAAATTTCACTTAACCCCCTTGAACTTTGGGGGGTCTTGCACATTAACTCTTAAAGTTTGTTTATTCCAGTTAAACCCTGAAGGTGGTGCACGGCCCCCCCCCCCCCCCGGCGGTGCAAAGTATGGGGCGGTTTGAACCTTGGACGGTCTACGCTCTAGTTATACGCCTGTTTGGATTTCATTGGGTAAGGGAAGTTAATGGGCAAATGGGGAGAGAAGAGAAGTAAAGGAATTCTCTTTCCTCCATTACACCGGGGAACAATTTTTGTGTATTTGGGCGTGAAAGAAAAGGTGTGAACGTAGGGGCAACTCTTCATCCCATAAAAGCTATCCAAATGGGGTGAATGTTCCCCCACCTTCCCTTCTCCCTCGCCCCAATCCAAACAGATCCATAGACTTCACACCTTTACATATACTCTGGTGTTTTAGAATAAATTTTAACTGAGCTGCATAAATTGAGTCCAGGTTGGTGGAACTTCACTTAGCTAGTTAGATAAATTATTCAGTTGTGCTTGGTAACAGTTGGCATATATGACTTCCTTTACTTCATATTCTGATCAATTCTTTTTAATTGATATACTAAGCGCAAGGTATATCACACTTCAATACTGTAAAAAAAGTTGTGCTGCCTGCATTTTCAATATCCTGTCAGGTTACTAATATCCTGTGGTTTATTCTCTGTATAGGTTCACTTTTGGAGTTGCTCATTCATTTACTGGAAGTGCAGAAGATCGTGACAAACTCCTATCATTTGATAATCTTTTTATAGGTGACACCTCTAAATTTGGGTTTGCTGATCACGCTCTTTAATTTGGATGTTCTTTTCAAATTATAGTCAAGGAAATAATCCAGCAATTTGCATGAGTACGAGGCAATTAGCATGCATATGGTGTTACTCAAATCCAACAGTCGTGGAATCTTTATAGTTGTAATTTAGGTTATCATCATGGAGTTTCAATGCAATTTGCATATTTTCTCTTAAAGAAAGTGTATGGCCATCACTATCTTTCGATAAACTGCACCTTCAACTGCTGTGTGAACCTCATGAACCACGCACGATGAGATAGTCTAGAAAATGAATTGTTCAACTTACACTCCAGTTATGTCTCTTGGGTAAACCTCGGAGGAAATACAACAGCGACATGCGTACCTTTCGTCTTGGCTACGTGAGCAACGTTATCCTTGTAGGGTGCTTCCATCTTCTGTGGATAACTTGGCAAACGGCCTGGCCTTTATGTTTTGATCGAACCATCTGCATGGTGCGTAAACCTATTATACATCATTGGACACATAATATGATAAAATAAACTGCCTATAATTGATTAGTCGTAGTACTCACCATAAAAGTGGTATCAAGATCTGGCAGGATGCAAGCAAGAGTATCATCTTAATTCTGTATTATTAGCCCATATTATGTATACGTCTCTCCCCTACAGATTCCAAGACTTATGTGCTTCCATCAGGGACGATATAACTGTAAAGCCTTCAGGACCTTTTTTGAAAAGCCTTCATGGCCTTGTTTGAACTATGTTTTGATGTGATAGTGGAGTGAATATGTTGACTGCTGCTCATAGTAAGTCCGAATTTTGTGGTAGATATTTTGGTTCTTGAATGCCTACAGTTCTCACTACAATTTCATAACTGATTCAATACCTGGATGTTAATAGCTTTCAGTGTGTTTGCACTGGTCTCTTTTATCTTGAATTTGGAGTTGAGGACCCATATTATATAAGCAGAAATTGTTGGACGATGCTTTTACTACTGTTTTTGCTCAATCTATAAAGTGAAAAGAAGTGTGCCATAACTTTTGAACTCATATCTGCATTATTGACAGAACTAGTTCACCTGGACCATATAAAATGAAAACTTGTTTTTGTATCTGTACAGCTAGGTTTTTGTATCTGTACAGCTAGGCTTTTTTCTAAATTTCATAGTGGGAACAATGAACAGGCATCAACGGTTGCTCTTTGAAGACGACCGAGAATCTTGAAGTTCTTAGAGGCATTCCAATTGAAAGGATGATGATAGAGACTGACTCGCCATACTGTGACATTAGGAATACTCATGCTGGTATGCAATTTGTGAAATCAGTTTGGCCTTCTAAGAAGAAAGAGAAGTATGATCCTGATTCGACTGTTAAAGGGCGCAACGAGCCCTGTTCTGTTAAGTAAGCAAATAGATCTCATGTTTTGCTTTTTAAAGTCATATTGTCTATCACAATTCTAGATTACTGGGAAGCAGCTCGGTCCTCCCTAATGAATCATTATTTGACAGGGACTGGAGTTCAATGGGCAAATTTGTGACAAGTCACAAATGATGCACTTTCTATAATTCCTAGAAATTAATATCTCACTTGTATCCTTAGAAACATATATTTGATGATGTTCTGACATCGTGATTATCCGGACATATATAATTTGAAGGCCAGATGCGTTGTTTCTTCATTAATTTTTCTTAGTAGGTTTCAAGCATATTTGATTTGATGTTTAGCATCATGGTTGACATGATTATGTTCTGACATAGTGACATGTATGATTCAAAACAATATGTTTTAGTATCTTCATCTCTTTTACCTCAGCAACTTCTTTCTTGGTTTCACAAGTTCTGGGATGATGCATGCACGCATAAAAAGAGAAAAAGAAAAGACAAAAGCGAGATCATACTCCTAATGCTTCCTGGCCTAAAGTTTTTATATGTGAAATCATTTTGACACCAAAGACAACAGAAAAGCAGAAACTACTTAATTAGATGTCTTTTTCAGTGAAGGCCAGAAGGTTAATTTTGATTCTTGAATATCTTTCTAGATCTTGAATATTCAATGTGTTCATTACCCGAATGCTAATGTAAACATGCTAGTTCAGTGTACTGTTCTCTTGTCTCCAGAGTTACTAATAACAAGCAAGTTTGCCAAATAGTATCTGATAAAAGTTAGATAAAAGCTGCCATGTAGAAAGCCCTAAGGCAGAATGAATGCTCATACCATTTATAACATTGTCAATAGTGAGGATTTAAACCCAAGATCTTTCAAAGTCACTTTCATACCGTGCCGGTTAACCATGTTGATAATCACTTACCCAATATCTTAAGCTCATGAATGGCCAACAATCTTATAACAAGCAATCTAAACATCTTTGTATTTTTATTTCTTGATTGATGGATTACCTGAAATTGATATTTTCTTTCCAGGCAAGTCCTTGAGGTGGTGGCCGGATGTAAAGGAATTCATGATATTCATCAGCTGAGCAAAACTCTATACAATAATACCTGCAGGTAAAGTTCAACCTAATGGCATCAATCAGTTTCCCGAGACCTTCGAGCGTTTACTAGAACTCTTGGTTAGGACTTATGACTGAAAAAGATTCATGATTGCCCAAAGAAAATGAGAACCATATTCTGAAAGAAATAAATACCTTATCAAATTTGATAACTTTGTTTGGTTTACTTTTTTGTCACGTGCTAGTCGTACTTAAGATTCATCCTTTCCTATATCTTCCATGAAACCTGTTGTATGTTTCAATAATATCTCTCATTTTATTACAGCATATATGGCTTATAGAACTTATTCTTCCATGAAACCATATTCTTTACCATAGAAAATCAGCAAAAGCAGCCTTGATCAGGGTTACTGCATTTATAAGGCATAGTTTAAATATATTGGTAGGTGCAGTCTTTCAAATGCTTCTATATATTTTGTTATTTTTTTCTCTCTACAACATTTTAAACCTAGTTCAGTACATTTCTCCTTGTCAACGTTAGATGCTCCTATTAGCAGGGTGAATTAAGTGACTTCTTACTTCCTATTTTTTGACCTTTTTATGTTGAATCATACCTCCGAGACTTTAGTTTCTACCATCGGCTTAACCATAGAAATTGAAGGGATGTATCTTTTCAGCCTCATAGTTTCCATCTCTCTGCTCATTCCATTTTTGTTGTTTCTGATCTATCCTCATAAAATATACTGCTAATATTGATTAATAATTATACGATGTTCTTGCAGGATTTTCTTCCCTCATGATTTAGATGCGGCAGCAGATGCTATTCTTGAAAAAGGCATCGGAAGCCAGTGACTAAAGTTTGATTCATTTATCGAAGCAATGTGCAAAGCAGCCTTTGCAATGTGATAATCTGCTGCTAAAATTTTAGACAGAAGTACCTAATTTCCTGTTGACATTATGTGGTGCCTTCTTCCTTGATTTCAAAGCAAACGAAACCTTCCACCTTCCCAGCAGAACAGATATTGGTACTGGCCAGGCTTTTTTCCATGCTAGACTCTGCGAATCGAGGCGTATTATCTGTTTAGTCTATTTTCCTCTTTTCAAATCACGGGCTAAAAATATGCTGTAATGCGTGGGGAAATTTCTTGGAATAACCTATTGCTCGATATTTGTATATCTTTTATGTATTTAATTTTAGCAAAGTCGAGATCCGTTCCTTGTTAGATTGAAAGCAGCAAAATACAAGGTAGATCTGTAAGCTTCATCATGTGCTTCTCTTGCTGTGTTTTCGTACAAACGTACGTAATGAAGGATGCAAATTCTTGCTGCTAGGTCCATTGCTTATGTGAATCTTGTGTTCTTATCATTGGTCTAGTAATCTTAGCAATTTTCAAATTACCACCCTCCGATAATTGAATAAAAACTCTACGTACAGGTAGATAAAATTGCAGGAAGTCCTTATATTAAGCTTTTACAGCAACTTCCTTGTTTAATTTGTTAATCAATTAGTTCTTGTTACATTAGATTATGCTTGTAGCTTTTTTTGATCAGTTACATTCTTATTACAATTATTAACAAACCAAGAGGAATATACATGAGGAACAAAAGTACAATTCTTGCATAGTTTTTTTTAAAAGTTTTCATTTAATTTTGTTCTTTCTGGAAAAGATCTGTCGACCGATCCGACGCAGATCTATCCTACTGAGCATTGACCAGCTTAACCAGAAACAGAAACCTCAGACAAAAAAAAAAGCAAGCAGCCCTCAGAGCTGCCGTATATCTCATCGAAGTATCTATTACTCGTAACATATTTATACAAAAAAAAAAATAAAACAAAACGTATGACATATGAACTCATAACACGAATCACTCTCATCAAATCAAACTGGAAAAAGAAAAAAGAAAAAAGAAAAAAAAAGAAATCATTTCTTCAACACAATAGGAAGAACGATGATCAAGATAATAATCAAAAGCAAAATAATCGCATAGCAGGTCCACTTCCGAGTGTTCTTCTGATGCTTCTTGGCCACCACCAGCTGCTCCGCCCCCCTCTCAACGAACGACCTCGCCTTCCCGACCTGGCTCTCTATATCGTCCAGCTGCCCCTGCGCCGTCCATCCATCACCAGCCATGGTCCATCAAACACCTGCGTGCAGCTCTCAACAAACTCCTCTCCAGCTCCCTCCGCCCCGTGCCGCTCCTTTATCTCCTCCACCACGGCCACCACCGTCCCCCTCCCTTGTTCTTCTATCGCCCGCTTCAAGAACCTCTCGCCCTCGCCTGTCCGGATCAACTCATCGACGACATCCTCGCCTGGATCTTCGCCTGTAACACGAGCCACGATGGGTGCATACAGATCAGCTACGCATCAAATGAGAGGAAAAAAAAAAAACATTCGGTTTGCAAGATGGATGTGAAAAAAGAGCTTTGCTACAGGGATGGTGACCAACTCATTATCTAATAAAAGGGGCACCTCACTTATCCCCTATTGATCCCATATTTTGGGACTTTGAGGATTTTTTCGTGAGAAAAACAGGTCAAGTTGAGCTAAAAGATGCAAGTCATGTTCGATCCCAGAGCCTCGTCATATCGGAAAAACTAAGATTAGATTTCTAGATCATCAAAAATAATCAAATTGAGAGTTCGTTAATATGTGCGTTACATCTGAAAATTTAATATCAAATCTCTGGACATTAATTAATCAAGATTTTAATGAAACGATAAAAGGGACTGTAAATTTATCTGTACGATCAACAAAAAAACATGCATTAATTCGGATATTTCGGGTACCTGTGACGGTATAATATCGTCTCTTGATGGTATCCTTGTACTCAGAAGAGACCTGTTTCCGAAGCGTTTGGAAGTTTTCCATCTGATCTCTCAACTTCTTCCGCAGCCCAGCCACGACAGAGCTCCGGGTCCGGTCAGTCGACGACCCGGGCCCACAGCCCGGGACCGAGCGGTTAGCCGCGTTGGCGCGATCAAGGGACTCAAGCCGGAGCTTGATCAGCTTCGCTTTCCTCAAGGCGAGCGAGACGTCGGAGTCCATCCTAGACCGGAGCGAGGAGACCGCCGAGGCGTTGTGGAGGGTCTTGGAGCCCTCGTTGGCGTCGTGGAGGGACTTGTGGAGGAGCTCGACGGCTTTGAGCTCGTCCTTCACCGACTCGACGTCTTCGAAGAACTTGTCGAGGTTGGCCCCTCCGGCTCGCCGCCGCTTAAGCTGGGGTTGCGCGTCATCTCGATCGAGTCGTCGCGGCGCCATGAACTTGAGAAGAGGTTGTTCATTTTTTTTTTGTGCTGAATTTTAATTATTTGTTTTCGAGAATTCGAAGGATTTAATGGAGTACTTTATGGGGAGAAATGATCGAGAGAGATTTTATTGGAAAGGGGGAGGAAATTGGGATGACGCGGAGGAGGGGGAGTTTAGGAGAGAGGAGAGGGAACGGTCAAAATGGTGGCCGGAGCTTTGATAGAGCAAGCAGTCTTGAATCTTGAATGTTGACTTTATTTTGAGGGACCGAGACTTGGGTGCGCACCCGCTGTGGGCGTGTGGGGCCCGGGGGTGATGGTCTGCAGCGTTTGTTATAACGGGAGGGGTGTGACCTGTTTGTCGGCACGCGGGAGGGGTAGTTAAACGGCAGCAAACGGAACGGGGAAAGCTGTTTATTTTTGGGTCATTTGCACTTAAATACCCCCTACTTTGACGTTTTCCAGCATAACCCTCCACTTTGCTTATCTCACATAGATGATAGACCGCCTGGACTTTGGGTGTCGCACAAAATATTTCTGAACATTAACGTTTTTTCATTGCACGTCTCTACGTATAAGAGCTTTGCTATAGGGACCCAAAATATGGAACCAATAAATAGGACAAGTGAGGTGTCCCCCTCCTATTGGATAATGAGTTGGCTATCACTAATGATTGCCAACTCATTATCCAATAGAAGGGGGACACCTCACTTGTCCCCTCTATTGGTCCCATATTTTGGGTCCTTAAAGAATTTTTCTACGTATAATTGACAAACTACTAATATATTATTGAGATAAAAAAAAATCTCAAATTTTATTGTTTGTCATTTACGAGCAAACTGCCACCTCTCTTAAAATTTGATTTTTTTTTGCTCGCAATAAAATTTTATCTATTTGATTGTATATATAGCTATAACACACACGTGGTGTGCCCATGCGCTTGTTCAAATATGTGAGTTACACCATCTGATCATCTTTAATTCCCCGCTTGTGTTGCAAGCTCATGCTACCGAGCTAAGCAAAAGAATTTGAGCTCATGACCCATGTTTGAGAGGTAAGTGCGTCAACCAAGTGTGCTAGAAAAGATTTTTAAAAGCAACTTGTGGTTACTAGGATTCGAACCCGGGTCTTTACAGCCACATCGTAAAAAATTGAAAAAAAAAATAATGTTGGAGGGTCCAATTAGAAAAGTTCAAATGTCAAGAGGGTTTGATAAGACATCCCAAAGTTTAAGAAGATATGTGAGATAAACAAGGAGACAAACATAAGTTCAAGAGGGAATAACTTTGATACACTAAACTGAGACTCCAAAAGTTATCCTAAAGTTATCAGAAATTAACTTTGGCACCCTAAATTGTGCTCCACGGAGTACTAAAGTAGTTTTAACTGTTTTGAACTTTGGTCTGTTTTTTGGGGAAAAACTTCAAGGTACCAAAATTAAAATTGGTGTTAAAATTTTGGGTATTAAGTATGAATAGCCCTTGGATTTTTAGTGCAATAAAAATGTATTTATGAATGAAATAACACACAATTAAATTGTTAATTGCTTCCTTCATTTTCTCTAATACTACCTAAATTAATAGTCTTTAAAAGAGGACTAAAGACCTTCATTAAGAAAGGATGTATATTAAAAGAAAGTTAATGGAATTAAAGTTTAATTAAGACGCATTAAGTAACATTTTTCCAGTAATATTTCAATATGTGAACACGGTGTTAGCCAGATCATAAACCTTACATGGATCATATCCAGTTCAAAGTGGATCAGCGAACCTACAGACAACTCAAACCCGAGCCGATGAAGCATACGGACGAATCCGCAAGCATATAGTGATGTACATGATGCTTGCTGTTTTAGGGGAGATTTTTTTTTTCTCACTAGAAACCATCTTTAAAATAGGGTAATTACACAAAAACTATCTTTTAGTTTCAATTTATACATAAACTATATATAAACTTGATTTTTATTGTGATCAACCACCTTTCAGTTAAATTTTTTTTATTAAAATCCAAAAATAATTCTTAAAAAACTCACATTCAAAGTACATGACTCTCTGTTTTAGTGCAGATCTTGCTAGGATACAACTCACATACCTTGAATTTGAATTTTTAAGCTTGTACAGTTTGGGAAGGGGTTTTTATTGATAAAAAAGAAGAATCTACTTCAATCGATATGCCTTAGGTACGGCCATACATAACGTATAAATCACACTTGGAAAGGGTGGACAATTAGCTAGAGCAGCAGGCATCGTAGCGAAACTGATTGCAAAAGAGGGGAAATCAGACACATTAAGATTACCCTCTGGGGAGGTCCGTTCGATATCCAAAAATTTCTTAGCAGCAGTCAGACAAGTGGGTAATGTTAGGGTGAACAAATTTTTTTTATCAATTATCATTTCAACGATCAACTTCTCCCATAATGATATCTATACTGTAAGTGGTTTTGGCCTCATAGGCCAAATCTGTAACCCGATCCGTTAAGAATCCAACCCGGTTGTTGGGAATATCCCACGTTCTGGGATTTCTTCCGTTAGAGAACGGGCCTTACGGAGAAAGTGGTTTAGAGAGATATTGGGGCAGATATTTTGGGGACGCAGGTGTTGAGGGAATGCCTATAAATTGAGAGGAGTTATTCTCCTCTAAACACACAGAAAAAATAATCTTCATCGGAGTCCCAAAAAATATCAAATTGCTTCCTCCCCCCTTCATTGGTATCAGAGCCACTACGAACTCCAAATCGCCTCCTCACCAGATCCCTACGCCCGCTGATCTGCTCCTGCCAACGGCTGACCCACACACAATAGCCCGAAGCTCCGTCGAACCGCCGTCCTCCGTTCTCCGAAATCGCCAACTCGCCTGCTCTGCCACCAAACTTCCGTCGTCTCTAAGGCTCCGCTTTCGACCGACTTCAAGGGTCCGCCTTCAAGCTCGACGACCATCAACAGTGCCTCTCTCGTTCGCTGGTTGATTTTATTTTTTTCCTCCTCCCTGTAAGCCCTAAAAATCTCAATCTCCCTGTTCACTCGTTGGCCCTTTTCCCTCTCCCTGTTTTTTTTATTTTTTTTTTGAAGAATATAAGAAAGGAAATTGAACGAAAAGGGATAACTCAATTAGTCGATTATCCCATTGATTTGTGGATTTTGTAAAGATTTAATTTTTTAAAAATTTTGGGGTCTGTTTGAATACGGGCAAAAGGGGTCTGTAGTTGAACAGTTGAAAACAACGTTTTTTAATTAATCTCTGTTTTAACCTTGATAATACTTATTTTTTTTTGCTAGTAGGCGTTTTAGTACCAATTAATTAAGTTAAGTTTTTTTTTGTAAGTTAGTTTTTTTAAGCATCAATTACTATTAATTTTATTTTATTTTTTGTATTACTGTTATTGACTCTTTTTTTAGTTGTTTAAGCGTCAATTAGTTTTATTATTACAGTACCACTTAAAAAATTTCTTATTTATAGTTGTCTTAGTATCATTTATTAAGTTAGTTTTTTTAACCTAAATCAATTCTGTTTGAAATATCATACAGCTTAATTATCGTCATGACTAGTAAATTAATTGCATCTGAACTGGCGAAGATAGAACGCCTTAATGGTTCCAACTATGATATGTGGCATAGGAAGATTAAGTATGGACTTATCCATGACAATCTAGATAGTGTCCTAGATGTTTCTGCACCAACTCTTGGTGATGATCCTACTGACGCTCAGAAAAGAGAGCTTGATCAGTGGCAACTTAAGGACAATAAGGCTAAAAGCCTGATGTTAATGTTCATGGAGGATAGTTTAATCAAAATTTTTGAAAACTATAATACAGCTAAGGAAATGTGGCTTGCAGTTAAGGAGAAGTATGACACTACTTCTGAGGTGAACATACAACTCTTAATGCATAGGTTTAATTCATGTCGTATGCAAGAAGGTGACAATGTTACCGAACATGTGAACAAGATGATTGTCATGGCTAAGGACCTAGTTTTAGCAAGATCTAAAATTCTTGAGAAATTACAGGTGGCAACTATTTTGAATAGGCCACTTCAAAGCCAATTGTCCACAGGCGAAGAATAAGGGCGGTCCCAAACGCCCGGAACAAGGAGGATCCGGTAAGCGGGAGTTCATCGGCGTCATTGAGTGCAATGCTGCAACTACTGACGCTGGTGGCTGGTGGATTGATTCGGGAGCTACCCGACATATTGCAAAGACGAAGGAAGGGATATGCGACTTCAAGGAGCTGAAGAAGGGAGATCAAAGGATTTACATGGGGAACAATACCTACCTAGATGTTGAAGGTATTGGTTTGTACAGATTGAATCTTGGGGACAACATCATGGTTCTCAAGGAAGTGTTTTATGCACCTGGCATAAGACGTAATCTGATTTCCGTCCCAGCCCTCCTAAAGAAATGCCTTGAAGTTAGGTTTTACAACAATAGGGTCTCTATTGGGAAAGACAAGAAAGTGTTTGCTATGGGCAAATTTGTACCTGAACATGATTTGTTCTGTCTTTCTGTTGTAAAACCTAAAATTTACAATAAGAATTCTGATTTGCTTTATTCCTCGTGTCTTTTATCTGATTTTGATCTATGGCATATGAGACTAGGACACCCTGGTAATAGAAAGATAGATCAGATAATTAAAATGTATGAGACTAGGACACCCTGGTAATAGAAAGATAGATCAGATAATTAAAATGGATTTGTTACCAAATCTGGCAGGTGTAAGGACATTACCCTGTGAACACTGCTTAACAGGGAAAATGACTAGAAAGTCATTTTCTGAAGGTCAGAGGGCAAGTGAACTTTTAGAGTTAGTTCATTCTGATATTTGTGGTCCGTTAAGCGTAAAGACACGTGGTAATAAAGAATATTTTATAACTTTCATAGATGATTATTCCAAGTATACTTTTGTGTATCTTTTAAACAAAAAATCAGAAGCATTTGAATGTTTTAAAAGATACAAGACAGAAGTAGAAAGGAAACTTGGAAGATATGAAAATCAGAAGCATTTGAATGTTTTAAAAGATACAAGACAGAAGTAGAAAGGAAACTTGGAAGATATATCAAGGTGTTAAGATCTGATAGAGGTGAAGAATTCAATTCAAATGAATTTGAAAACTATTACATTCATTATGGCATTAAGAGACATACCACTATGCCTTACACGCCACAACAGAATGGTGTGGCTAAAAGGAAAAAATAGAACATTGATGAATGCAGTGA